CAACAGTAAATGTAAAATATCAATCTGATTGGTGAAAATTAAAAATGTACATTTACCATTTTCAACTTATTTTATTTCATTCAGGTCATTTTGGCACTCTAACAAGAGGGTATTTCTGTCCTTTTAGGATCATATGACCATTCAGAGATTAAATTTATCATTTTAATTCAAAATATGCAAAAGGTATCAGTGAAACACTTTCATTTTTCTTACCTTATTTATAAAGAATAGAAAGCCCTGAAGGGAATGTTGATAAATTGAACAGGTTGTCTATTATTTTACTTTTGACGGCCATTTTGAATTTTAATTTCACTATAGAAGCAGCTTTTGATACTTTATTCATACCTTGACATTTTTTAACCATTATATAATATGAAAAGCCCTGCTAAGACTCTGTAGTAGAGGTTTAAGTCTGAAAAGGTATTTTTGGCGGCCATCTTGTATTTGGCGGCCATATTGGAATTTCCAGACATGCCCATATATCCAAAATTGCTTAGAATTTCATTCTCTACCACTGTGCCAAATTTCATGCTTGTAGGTAAAAAACGCACAATTCACCCTTTTTTCTGCACCAATTTCTTGGACTAATAGGCCTACGTGTAAGTTTACTTCACTAATTATTTATTATTTAATTTAAAACACTTACACTAAAACAATATCCATACTCGTTTTTTCCGCTGCCAACTGGCTGCTCAGAGACGGCCATGACAATCTGAGCTGGTACTGTAATTTTATTTGATAACGTAAATATACATGTACATGTTGTTATGAAAATGCCACACCCATACTAACATAGACTTTAATAAACACGATGCTCATAACTTATGTTACTGGGCTAATTAAACTTATGTAAACTTGTGTAAACTTTTGTAAACTACACAAAATACCTCTATATAAGTGAATTACACTTTATTAAATACATAAATTTTACACAAGCTACACGTAATATCATAAAATACCTCCACTCTGCCAGTAAGTAATAAATGACCGTGCAGAGTACATGCAACATCGGCTTTTATACAGTTGACCACATGACTAAATGAACAGATGTTACTTAATTGAGCAGTGTTAGTAGTTTCTTCTCTAACACAATCTAAATAAACATAAGAACATCGTGGAAATAAAAAAATAAAAATGATAACTACGTATATAATTTCTACCGTTTTTGATTCGCTATTTTTGATGTGACGGGTCGCTGGACGATGTCATATTTCAATATAATCGATGAAAATGGATTTTCCGCCAGGAGAATTATTTTTTTCCCATCGAAAAGATCGAAGAATTACCGTACTTCAGTATTACTTCGGAGATCTTTAACCTTGATCAATCTATGGCAGCTCAGGCAGGTGTCATACTTTGCTGTTCCATCATCATATTCCTTGAGCGGGATCTTTTTTTGGATTGGCCGAATATAAATTGGACCAGAGGTTACTATCTTCAGGAGATCACACTCACAAAATCCTGATGAAAAAACTTCAAGTTTGGTCCTGGAACCCTCAGCAGCTTTTAGCAGCTCAATGCTGCCGATTCCAGCTAATTGAGAAAATGTGCTGAATAAGATATATAATAAAAGTTTCTGAATGACTGTACATTTCATCGCATAAGGTGCACATTTGATTATTCGATCTTAGTTGAACCAATGAACTATAAGGTAGAGCTCCATAAATTAACTTAATCAGTACAGGTACGCCAAATTCTAGATAGTTAATTTATAAATTCAATATATTTGAAAAGTAAAATTATTTGCTATGTTTAATAATTATGTATTTATGTTGGGCGTTAACGGGAGTCACCCTTACAATTTTATGGAAAGGAGTAAAAGAGCAGAGCGTAACAGATTGTGAAATGCGTAGCGACATACCATGGGCCCAGGGGCCCAACTGCTCCATGATAAGTTCTGAAATAAAACCTATGTAGGGCTACCTATATAAAAAGTAACTGAAATGTTATAACACTTATATATGTACACACACACACACATATATATACATATATATATATATATATATATATATATATATATATATATATATATATATATATATATATACACACACACACACACAATTATAACTAATAAATAAATAAAAAACAAGAGACATGTAATAACCCCAACTCTAAGTTTCACGGGCATACCCAGAAGGCATGCCCTATCGTTAGGAGGTTTATTTGAAAATAGTTTTTTAGCTGTTTATGTGGATGGCGTGACGACACTTACGTCACGTGCCATGTCAGTTACTTCACCTTATGTCTTTGTCGGGAAGAATCTATTTCAGTTGGCGTATCTTTGAATACTGAACCTGAACCAAACGTGCATGCTCTTTAGATTCGACCAATTCTTTCTGCCACAAGTTAAAATATTCAGCTTTAGACATCTCAGTTTGGACTATTTTCATTTTCTTTTTTTCCATCTTTCATCTGGACCCTTTTCCAAGAGTAGAATACGATTTGGTCTGGTAAATCGTTCAGTTCTATTTCCTTTTTTTGCTTGACGAAATCATCTCGATTAGTGGTAATAGGAATGCGCTCGCTTTTCATGGTTTTCAATTTGAATGCAAAATTTGATGTTTGGTGCACAAACACGTTTCTCTGCTAAGAAATACAGCTGGAAGTATGTACTTGGGTCAAATTCTTTGGAAAGTTGCAAGGGACAAGGTGGCATCAACATTCTCTGAGCAGTACTTATGATAAAGGTTTTCAGTGTAGTCTGTCAAAATCTGGGTTTGTTTTTTACCATCTTCACACTTTGTTGCATCGTTTTTGCCAGGTTTCATCCTACAATTATCCTCTCTTTCTAAGAATTTAATGACACTGTCTCTGTGCTTTTGAAGGACTCTTCTCCTTGTTTTCTTGGAAAAGTCAACTCCATTTTTTCATAGAAGTAGAAGCCTTTTCTTATTCCTGCCCTTTTCAACATTTTATCTGTTTTTGTCTTTGCATGGTGTTAATGGACCTTTCTTCTTCCTTTCAAGTCTTTGAACTTTTCTCTGTATTGTTTGGATTTTCTTACGTAACTTGACATTTTCCTCTCGCAGTGTTTTAATTTCTCTTGATGCCCTTGAATATGCTCTGCTCAATCTTTTTCTTGGTCCGTTTCTTCTTGCTGAGGGGACATTAAATGGCATCCGTACCAAAAATGGTTGCCTGGAAGATTCATATCCACTACTTTCAGGATCCAAATCACTTCCTTCTCCGTGGTTATCTGCCTGCTGTAACTGTTTTTTTCTGACGACGATGCTTTCTTACCCTCTCTTTTATGGCCAAATTTCATTTTTTTCTAGCAGAAGCGGACAGCTCAGTCACTGGTACATAAGTCCTTTGTCGTATTCTTTCTTTTTTCAAATATTTTTCTGAGTCCTGAGCCTTTTTTCTCTGTCTGTAGTTTCTCAGAATCTCTGCCCTTGACAATGGCATTGTCACCACTTGAAAGATACAAAAATAAAAAAGTTAAGTAATTCTACACAAAATATTAAGAAACATAGGTTACTGCAGTGGAAACATACGTTGCTCCAACTTTTAGCCTAAATTCAACCTAATTCTTGATATTCAATAATAAAGTGCTTTTTCATAGACAGGCACACAGTACAGTTTTCTACTGTCAATGTCTTTCATCATGCTGGGCCAATACATTATGTCTTTTGCCCTTGACTTTGTTGCTTGACAGCCTGCGTGTCCTCTGTGTGCTTTCAATGCATATTCATGCTGTAAAGTTGCTGGCATGATGATCTGGCTTCCTTTCAGCACTACATCTTGATCAACTTTGATCTCATCTCAGAATGGGAAATATTGTCTCAAATCTGGGTCCCATTTCTTTTCACTTTTAGGCCATCCCTCATGAACTGCACTGCATACTTTCTTCAGTATAGGGTCCTTGGCTGTGGCTGCTTTTAGCACTTCCATCCTGTAGTCTGCGACAGGGATTATGGACAGAACTTCCACGTCACTGCTCTCAGTTTTATCCTTGCCTTCATTCAAGTATGCTCTTGACAGTAGAGAGTTTTGGCAAGGCCTTCTGTATGACGTGTAACGTATAGTTCAATATGTAATACGTTTTACGTACGCGAGAAAGCTAGCAGTGGTTTTGGCAGGTCTCACTCCGTATGCGTTTTTTTCCGCCAGGAGCCGCTAGTTCCAAAATGGCCGCGCCCTGGACATCCAAGCGGAAGTTAATTTGTGCACAAATTTTCGACTTTGACGTAGAAACTACGCTTGTTTTGTTTAATTTTTAAATGGGGTTTTAAATGGGTTGTAAAAGTTTACCTCCTTCAGCAACATCTCGTCTATGTCATCAGTAAAAATTATGGATTTTTTCTTGGCTGACATACTGACTTTCCTGACTTTGCTAGGCTATTATATTATGATTATCTGCAATTCAAAGAAATAAAATGATAAGGGTATAGGCCTATATTTCCCAGCAAACAATGGACATCTGGCCCAGATCTGGGTCTGAGCATTTTGATTGATCTGGCCCAGACCTGGCAACCAGATCTGACCCAGACCCCAGGTGCTCAAGCAAACAGGGCTGGCTCAGATCTGGGAGTAACAGGGCTGTCAGATCTGGCTCTGGTCTGGCATAGAGCTGTGCCAGCTCTGGGAGTGAACTGTTTCTGATCTGGCATCCCCAAGTCCATGGGCTGGCTGTTCCATGAATTCCATGCATGCAGTACACCATTAAGGCCATTGGAAATAACACAAAGAAAATGTGAAGACATTATATATGATAACATAATTTTATTTGAGACAAAAAATGTAAAAAAAAAAACTGGAATGCTTGCAGGCTAAAAACAAACTTTGGCTCCTTTCCTCAGGACAAGGTTTTGTTAATTATATACAGTTCTACGATGCATCTCCTTCATGTTCCTGCGCTGCAGTTTCATTCCATTGTGGAGTTGCCACAGGCGCAGCAGTTGCTCTTGATTTCCTGCCACCATTTCTGTCTTTAGCACCATCTAACCAGTTGGTAACAGCATTTCTATATTTCCTTTCTGCGGCCTCAGGGTAACTTTTTCTAACAGCATCTAAAAGATCATAATGAGCAATAATTTAGTAAAGTTGCACACAAATCCGTGCCAAAAAGTTGGACTTCCAAGTGATTGAAAATGGTAGTCAAAGTTGCATAGATTTTTAAGACCTCCAAAAGGAAATCAAGAAAGTAATTAAGACGTTTTAAGGCCTTGAAAATGAAAATGACTAATTTCAGACTTTTGACTATGTACACACCCTGCCAACCTTTGGAGATCAGAAAACAGGGGCATAAAAAGAAATGTTCTTACCAAACAAAAGTCTACACAGTGCAAGTTGTTGGAATGCTCTCTTCTGTTTATTCCCCTTGCCACTCAGGTTATATCTTTCAGCGACTTGGTTACTGAAGATTTCCTCCAGTTTCCTTCTTGTGTCCTCAACAACTGTCCTCCCATCGAAGGCAACCAGATGTTTCACCTACAATATACAAAGAAATGAATATTGCCACTTGATGGGTCATCAATTCCCAAGTTTGGGGTTGTTAATTTCTGAAATTTGAAAACAACTTCTCTAATTTTATACCAGGAGTGTTACACAAAGCAAATACCATTGTATGAACCAGCTGCATAACTGGATAGATAATGCATTAAATGAACATAGCAATAATGGGATGTCATGATTCCACGTAATTTCTGATGCTGAATGTGATTTATCTAGTTTATGTAATACTCACAACTTGTGTTTTTAAAGAGGTGTTGTCAACAAAACTCCGTTCAAAATCATCCACCGCCTCCAAAGATGTCAGCCGAAATGTATCCCGAGGCAAGCTTTCTGCATTAACATTATCATTGCCATTGGCTGTTCCTTTCTTTACATGCTGAAGAAACAGCTTCTTCAGTTTTTTTTGGTCCGCCTTAACTTCCTCCAATGCAGTAAAGATACGATCTGAAAAATTTTTTAACTTCACATTACAAACACGTTCAATGTTTCTTTGGCACTTACTGACAAACTGATTACCTTGTATCATCATTCATCATAACATGGCAAGTATGTATTAAAAGCAATCCCAGTGAGGCACCCACGGAACTAACTTTACAAAGAGGTGCTGCAATCGATGCGCACAAAGTTTTTTTCTAACGCTATTTCGATTTATTTCTGGTGTGAATATAACCCATCTTTAACATCAATCACCTGTAGCAGATGAAGCATTACCATTTGTTCAACAAGATGAAATGGTATCAATGCCTGTCACTCCCATTTGGTTTGCTAGACTTTGCCATGGTCTAAATGGTCGGAGAATGCTGACAGTTTAAAAATCTTTTTGCAAACAATACAAATTTTTTATCAGAGCCCAGTCCATTTGTCTCCTATTGGCTTGTCTAAACATGAAACCATCTTAGTGAAACCTGTCGCATCACAAATGTTACAATCAGCCAGGAAATGTAAGGTGACTGTCCGAAAATACCCACTTTCAAAACGAACTAGTTTCGCAGATGCCATTCAAAACATCCACTGGGATGAACTATACCACAGTGACTGTGGCCATCAGCAATGTGATATGTTTTATCAGACCCTGCATAACTTAATAGAAACCCATTTCCCAACCAAGGTTGTGACAAGGAGTACACATGACAAGCCTTGGGTGACAGATGAGTTTCGTGACCTAATCATCCAACGCCAGCGTGCCTTTCAACTGAAGGACCCTGAATTTAGAAACCTTAGAAACAAAGTAAACCAAGAACGCAAACGGTTACAAACGGTCTACTACAGAACTCAGATTGAAGAGGCAAAATCGTCAGACCCAGGGAAATGGTGGAAAGGTATCAATAACATCATGGGTAAAACTAAAAAAGTGCCTCTCTGACCACCATGGCCAACCATCTCCATGAGGGGGATATGGAAGCACTTGCACAAAACATCAACAACTTCTTCCAGTCCATTACTTCTCACCTAGACCCCTTAGATGAGATGGACTTCCATGATGTTAACATTCCCTCACAGTAGAACAAGTGGAAAGATCTCTCATTAATATTAACACAAACAAGGCATCCGGTCCTGATAATATACCGAACTGGATTCTCAAAGACTTTGCTGGAGTTCTCATTGCACCAGTATGTGCAGTCTGGAACAATACCATACGTCAAGGAAAGCTACCAACAATCTGGAAATGTGCCAATGTAGTGCCACTGCCTAAAATTAAACCAGCACTGAGCGTGGAAAATGATTTAAGACCTGTTTCCCTAACACCTATCCTCAGCAAGGAATTAGAAACTTTTATTTTTACATGGCTGTGGGAGATACTAAGACCACATATTAAGAAAGATCAGTTTGGCAATGTTAAAGGTTCCTCCACCACAATGGCCTTAAGCGAGCTATTTGACACCTGGGCCAAGGCCAGTGACACTGATGGGGCACAGTCTCGGGTTTTATTACTTGATTTTAGAAAAGCGTTTGATTTAGTAGACCACAATACTTTGCTAGGCAAGCTCTGCAGCTATGGAGTACCTCCAGTATTACTCAGATGGGTCCATGCCTTTTTACTAAATAGACAACAACGGATTAAGTGTGGATCAGTAATGTCACAATGGTGCCATATTCATGGGGGCGTGCCCCAGGGTACAAAATTAGGACCTCTCCTTTTCATTACAATGATAAATGACATGGAATGTTTTTTACCAGCAGTAAAATATGTGGATGACACTACAGTTTATGAGACAGTTCACCAACCATCTCCAAGGGAAATAGAACAAGGTGCCAAACCTACACAATCTAAACTTCCCATAGCAGCCTCAAACCTATATGAATGGACAAAANGAATTGATTTGTGCCATTCACAGCTTAAGGCAAAGTTCTTTACATGCTTACATTGACAGAAAGCTGAATAAATTTTCCACAACTTGTAGTAATTTCAAGTTGTGCGGAGGCCTCTATAGGTACAAAAATCAAAATCAAAAACGAACTTCCGTAATAGCTTTAATAAAATTTCGATTTCAAACTCATTTTTCAACATTAAATATGCTGTAGATCAACTTTTGGGTCATCTCACATTATTCGAAATTTATTTCTCAATATGACAATGTACATATTGTAACCCCAAGTACGTTAATAGCCGAGATAATACACCGTTTATGACACCCTATAAATCTCAAAAAATATTGCCCAATTCAAATTCTCGAACTTCCGGTTTGTTTAATAGCCACCTAGCGGCAGACCAGTGGCTCCCGGGCTGATCTTATTTCAACAAACATAAAATTTACGAGAAGAAGACCACGTGAATAATATGTTAAGTAATCACTTTACTGCAATATATATAAGCAAATGGCAACCCACATTTTCTGCGTTAACTACGATAATTGTCATCAAACTCTCTGTGCCAGCCTACGTGTAGTGGAAAACGAGTTACGACCGACATGCACCACCTATATCTGGCAGGCGTAAATTTACGACTTAGTTAAGATCAATATAAACACTATTGCAATTTTTCTAGGACGTAGCACTTTGCGCTGGATTTACGCCAGCGCAACTGCTACGTTTAACTTACGACCGGTTTGTGCACCCGGCCCAGGGCCAGCAGGGCGTAAATTTACACGCATACGACTGTCGTACGTGCGCCAGGTTTACTCTCCCTGCACCTAGACAAAAAAACGATCGTCTTAACTACGCCCGAGTAACGCTTCGTTGCATCACTGCCCAACAATACGTGGATGGTATAATTGGAGAAATGAGGAATTTGCAGCTGCAGTCATAATGGGATGACGGCATAAATAAACACAAAATGAGCATTTCAGTAACTGAGAAATTCATAAGCTACATTATTCCATTTTAATTTTGAAATTAAAACGTTAAAAATATGTTAATTTTGCTGTTGCCTTGAATATATAGCAATAAGATCGTATATACATTATGAATCAAAATATTATTACGGTATGCTAAAAATTTAAATCTTTGATTGTTTGAGGCCGTTTGTAAATGAGAGAAACACGTTGGAGGCAGTAAGTATTCCAATTAATGGGTTTTAACACCTTCACATTTGTTATTGAAACTTTTGAGTCTGAAAATAATGCCAAAATTGCACCTTTAACGCCAACATTGCTTTCTTTTTATATAGTTTTACAACAGTGTCAGAAATTTCATGAATACTTATTTATAGTTACACCATGTGATATCCTTTAATTTCATCCAGCTTACATCTTGTAGATTAAGAAATAAAGAGACCTAATACATATCATATAAGCCTTACAATGTTGATATTCTAAGCTTTCGTCTCTATGTTCATGTTTAGTAAAATAAGGATGTTATACAATGTGAAGATAAAATAACTTTGGTTAGTTATGGTTTATCAAAAATTGTGACAAGAAATAAAGAAACCGAACTGCTGAGACCCAAGACTTACCGACAAGTGCGGTAAGATTTAATTTGAACATATATACATACGCATATACATGGCTACATACATGTACTCCTACCAGTGGTACCACATGTCCACATGCACAGATGTCCTATAATAATGTAAGTGCAACGTCCCGACTTTAAAAGTAGGGTTTTTTTTATCCGTGACTCCCGAAGACCACCGTCTTTACCGCAAGTCTGATATACGGTATATTGTAGTGGACTGCTATTTAGTGCTCTTAGGGAAGCGGGCCATAAAATATGATGTGTCTTTTGACTTTGCCGAAAACTATATACATGTTACTGATTATTTGTGTCTAAATCACCCTGAACAAAAGTAGACAATCGTTAAAGGACATATATGATTATTATTAAACACAAAATGATTTTTCCCTACCGTTAACTTGCAGCCAACTTGGTTGTAGTGCTTTATCAGTCTCACGTAAGTAGTTGTTACTCACTTACCGCTAAGTGGTTTAACGGCTAGAACCTTATTGTAAAATGTCCGGAACATCGCCCCCCCCCCTTCCCGTCCCATTTCATGGGTGGCTGGTGACAGCTGATGTTTCTTGATCTTGGTTGAATCCCAGTCAATACTGTGGCCAGTGTTTATTGCACGTTCAGAAAATACTCAGATAGTGTTAAATAATTATCAACTACAAAGCTGATTATTAATTTGATCCAACTACATAGCTTACACTGCACGAAAAAAGACCTTTTATTACCTTTCAGTTCCTTCCAAAATGTTATCGAAAGATGAACCCTCATCTTTCATAACCCTTTTCGGACAAAAAGACNAACATTAAATAAACAAAGATGAAATCTTCTTCAGGGGTTCGTGTGTATTTTCGTCGCCGTCGTCGTAGTTTTGGGGATGCTTCAGGTGACAGAAGTCTGTCAAAGGAGGCTGACCAATCCAGTGAAGAGGTGAGCTCATGGTCATTTTCACTGCACGAAAAAAGACCTTTTATTACCTTTCAGTTCCTTCCAAAATGTTATCGAAAGATGAACCCTCATCTTTCATAACCCTTTTCGGACAAAAAGACCGTCTTTCACCTTTCAGGCGGCAAAAGGTCATCTTTTTTCAACTTTTATCTCTCCAAAAGACCGTCATTTACTTTTTCATTAACTTTCATTTTCCAAAAGTTCAACTTTGACCTTTTGTAATGAAAAATACCACCTTTCGTTCAACTTTTGTTAACTGAAAAGATCGGCATTCGCATTTTGTTTATCTTTCATTCCCTTAAAGTTAACAATAAAAATGATCTTTACTACAGAATGCTTTGTACACTAGATGTCTGAATTCCGCATCTAAAAAAAAGCGCAGGATATGAGAAACGAATATTTTAAACCTTTTTGGCATGAAGAAGTGTTGTGCACTTAAATTTTTGATTCAATTAATTTAGTTTGAATTGTGCATAGTAATCTGCATCATGTTGAAATAATGCATTGCTCGTATGCATTGCTCTTCATCAAATAAGATTGTACTGACCGTTGTGTTTACACTCTACGGTGTATTTTTTAACGAAAGTGTTCATGGAGCGAGTTCTTTTAGGTAAGAGTAACGCGCATAGAAGTAAATTCCCTGTATGCACAAACAGCATTTACATGTTTTTCTAAATCCGGGGTAATTATAATTTCAGCGTCTCATTTTCACAATTAAATGGCAAAATATCACTATGTATGCAGAACATTACTGATGAACATGAAATGCATATTGAAACAAAATGTAATTTGATTTAATATCGGTTTTATTACAACCACATATAACGGTTTTCCTTTGAACAATAAACCCTTCCAGTAAAATGCATGCATAATAATCGGTATATGCACTGACAACATGAAAAACTAAGCATACCAGTTATTTATTTGGTTGCATTTGGAAGTATGTACTGGTAAAAATATACAGAGATATACAGAGATAAACTAATTATAAAATAATTTTAATAAAAATAATAAAATACACCAACATGTCCAGTATTTCAAAATCAAAAGTTAGGTGCAGTCTTAATGCTGCTCACAACAAGTAACGTTCTCTAGGGCAAACAACAATGGTATCCTTTCCCATGACAGAATTAATTGCATAAACAAACTTGCATTTTATTCTTTGAACTGGAATGTACATAGAAGGACCCTCCTGTTCGAACAGGGTTCTGTGCCACACTTCTACAGGTCTACCAAACGTGTACCTAATTCTGTCTTCTAGGCGTTTAAACCAGTTGACTTTTGCTATTATATGGCGTTCTACTTTTCCATCAATGATGATGGCATGTTCTAAAAAATGTATAATCTGTCCTGGACGTGGTGTGAGGTCATCATACATAATAGCAATTTCCCCATTATTCCCCAACCAAAAAGCCATGATGAATGAGGAACGCACGCTGCGACTGCACTTTGAGCCCATTATAGAGCCGTTGATGAAGACCTCGTTAGCTAACTTTACCGAAGTACAGATTTCGAAGTGCTTATGGCCATACAGAATTGAATACATATTCTCTAACCTATCTAACTCCCCCTCATGCAATGTCCCAGTCTTAGACCCCCTCACTAAAATGTCATCAATACTGCTCCAGTCCACTGTCAAAATAGATGTCTGAAATGAGGCTTTATCCAATGCACTAGTTTTCTCTGGTGCTTTTGATTGTTGGCTTAATGTTCCACGGGCATTGCTAGTTTGAAAACTGGATAATTCATCAAACAGCTTCGAAAAACTTTCATCAAAGTATATGCTATTTTGTTTCTCCCTGGCCCAAACTTCCCGTAAGTATTTCTTCATTATTTGCCCTTCAATCTGTTTTCTGTTGCTTGGATAAGACCCAAGCACGCCGTTCTCCCTTTCAAAGCTAAACAACCAAAATGAATAGATCGGTCCAAAATCAAAAATACAATCTACTAAGTGACAATGCAAGTGCATATTGGGCGTGACAGAGTCTTCGCCATAAAGTTGTTCGAACTTTTTACAAAAATCTATCAATAAATGATCCGCTACTTTAACACTGCCCAAAGATATATTTCTAGAACACAATCTTCTACAGGCCAACACAAACTTTCTCCAACATTCTAGATGTTTGTCTGGTATAACATTTTTCAGGGCATAAATGGAAAACAACAGTGTCCAGTTTTTCCACTGATCAGCATTAAATGACCCATGTGACGATACAAATTTCTGGGGTAATTTGCCAACGTCGGATGGACAGGTGAATTGTTCAACCTTACCCTGAATAACTTGAAGATCGCTATCCTGCAATATTTGTTTAGTTTTCCAAACATTTACCATATGTTTTGCAGTACCTAGAAAGAGATTATGCATGGGATCGATGGGTGTCATTCTGATTGGATCAAAATATTCTAAATCTAGTAAACAGGATACTCTTATGCCATTCTCTTTTTCAACCTTTTCTCTCTCAGACTTTGAAGAACACTTGGATATTTGTCCACAGATTTTCCTGTGACGGTCATTATTCCTAGAGGGCCAACTTTCTCTCTCAAACCCGCTAAAGTTCTTCTCTCCTATTGCCCCAGGGAATTGTTTTTCGCACTTGTTACACCCTAAGTTAGCCATGTGACCATAAAATCCACAAAGCTTCCTGCTTGCAGGAACATCGCACCCTACACATATAAGAGCTAACCTAAACTTTCTCAACTTATACCCCGACTTCCTAGACTGAATTAAAAACCCATTATCCCAAGCTTCGATTAATTCGTCGACTAAAGGCTGAAGAAATGTATTGGTCGGGGGTTCTTTTTTCATGTCAGGAATTATTCCTATTAAAATAACATTTTCTCGTTTAAATCTCTCTTCTCTAGGTAAATTCAGAATTGAAATATAAACTGCCCCCACTGAGTAACTGGTGTGCTTGTAAGGTTGAAACCAGTCAACATTGAGCATAAGTCCGTAATTACCTTCTTCTGTAAAAAAGTTATACTTTTCACCGTTGAATTCTGCCCAAATTCGCCCGTCATAAATATCATGCATCGCGTCGTCTGGAATATTTCTATTTCTCCACAACTCACATTTGTCCTCAAATTTCTCACGAACCACTAAACTTTGAAGAGAAGATTTCAGTGATTTGTAACAATAAACTTTAAAAGGTGCGTACTTTGAAGACCCTGGTTCTCCTATATCCTTGAGCAGCGGCTCTCCACATGGCTTACGCATATAGGCTAGTTTGTGGTTTGGGAAAATTATATGACTGCAATGTTTTACCCGTTTCTCCCCTTCAATGTTCAAGAAGCACTGCTCTAGGCTATATAAAGAAAAGCATTTTCTACATACTACATAGCGTGAAAACTGCATATGTCTACCATCTAAAAACTTGGACATCGAATAAAAATTTTCTGGAAAAAGAGTAATGAAACTTCTGATAGGCGCAGAGAACCTGCTGAAATACTTAAAAACGGTAAACAGTATATGTAACAAGGCCCCGACTGCGGAATCTGACACGTTATGCACAGATTGCCAAAGCACCAAAATTGAACAAATAAATCTTGTCAGTAAATTGAAAGAGTCTGCCTCATCAGGTGCACTGACGTGTCCCTTTTCAGAATCATCAGAGTGAACGGAGGAGTCCGTTTCATACGCACTGCTTTCAACATTTACATCGTCAATATCAATATCACAGTCAAAAAATGTTTTTGCATCCTCGTCTTCAATGTTTTTAAAAGAATTGTGGACTTGACGCTTTTGTTGAACAGCAGATCTATAATCGACTGTATCATTATCACTGGAAAAGAGAGGAGGTTCACTGTATTCTTCATTATTTGAAACACTATGGTCACCTAAACAAGCATCATCGATAACATCACCACATTTTTCCACATGTCGTCGCCAATGTCTGTCAGAAAGTTCTACGTTACACTTTGTACACTTTTTCCTAGGACGCTTTGCCGGAGTTGCCATTTTGCTTCAAGCTAGTTGTTTACTGAAAGAGATATAGAGAATGTCTTCAAAGAAATGCAAAATGTACTCGCCCTTACGTTTTTCTATTCTTATTTGACTGACATGCTATATTGGAAACGCTAAAATATTATGTTTACACTTCAGAATGGCGACCACAATATGTAACAGGGCCCTACTACTCATCAAGATCAGGATACGAATTTAAATTCATAATTATTTCTGGACCAAACGTCAACTGTCCTTGAATTTTTGTATGTAGAAGTGGCGGGGTTTGAAAGCAACAAACAAGCTTGAGGATCCACAGTCGCTTATGTTTTTGTCTTTACTTATGTAGGGAATTGCACCTAGTGCAGTAAGTAAAAAAAAATGAAGCTAATAGGCCACCTCTCCATATTTGCCTGGCTAGAGGATTATTTCTAAGAAATCACCTCTCCTGACATATAGGTTTGAGGATCCACAGTCGCTTATGTTTTTGTTTTTCCTTATGTCGAGAATTGCCCTGTGTGCAGCAATAGAATTATTTCTCAAATTTTAGCTCTCTGAGGTTGTACGCTGTAGGAGTATCAAACGTAGATTGAACTAAATGCAGACTATTATAAACATTTAGAATGTTATGACCTTTTACTTAGTCTTTCTAGTAACTTTAACTTATACCTTAACAATAACGCATGCTCGTAAGACGTATAATGACCATGAAATTAACGTAAGAAGCTCATATTTCAAGCAGGCCAATCACCTCTATAATTTGTATCCTGTTTATATGTCATTTAAATATATCACGACCACACTGTTAGCGAGTACATATAAATAAACAATCTTGCTGTTAGCGAGTACGTTGAAATAAACAATCTTGCTTGAATTAAAGTAACTTAATATAAAAAACAGAAAAAAACTTGTCACCCATTTTTGACCTTTTCGTTTCTGTCCTTGCTCAATGGCAGTTAGTCTCTCCTTTAGCATGTTATATTCCATGAATCTGACATAAAGAGGGTCTGAAGTAAACGTGATGAGGTTACAGCTAGAGGTACTGGCAGTTTCTACCTTGGCTGGTGATGATGATGCTGTTTGCGATGCTGATGAGGATTCTGGAACTTTATGCACCGGGTTCGTAGTTGAACAGGTATAATCAACTTTGTGAAACCTTTTTCTTTGTCTTTTTTCTTCTCTTTTCTTGTGGCGGTAGGCATTCCTGTTTCATTTTTTTTGTCGCCCCCTTCCTTTTTTAATAGAAAAATCACATCATGCAACTGTGAGTAAATCTTTCAGATCTTTGTTTAATTATTCATTTCGGGGCATTCTACATGTTATTTTAATAAGACAGCCACGTTACTGCCCCCAGCCGTCTTCATCCTTAAATACTGCAAAGAACTTGGTTTCCCGCCTTAATCCTAGAATTTTTCTCCTCTTGCATTTTACACTGACTTATAATATGAACCTTATTAGACGTATTTATACATTCATTCTACAATGTACCTACCTTGTACGAAAAACGATGTCTTTTTGTCTAGAGTCAGGTGAATTTTTCTACCGTATCTTGATAATTTGTAGTCTGTAGCAAGAATCCCACAAAGTTAAACTGCACACTAAGCTTCCCTCGGCAGTATTGGCATGGGTGGGGAATCCGCGGGAACTATCAGTTACATTCTTCCTTTCTTGCGCGCGCCGCACGGTTCTGGTCAGTTGACATTCAGCGGGATAATTCGGCGGGCATCGATACGAGTTGTTTCACGTTAAATATTTTTCAATCAAAATGAATCAATTTCGGTCAACTTTTTTGCAAGAAGACGTCTATTTCAGTGATCATGAAACTGACGAAGATCAAGAGATTGAGGAAGATCGTCAGGTAGGTGTAATACACCATTTATTTCACTCAAATAACAACTAACAAAACCAATGATCAGTATGATAGGTTTGCACAGGGGTCTGTTTTGTTGAAAACTTCCTTTAGTAGACCTAACTGCAACACATTCTAAGACTGAGCACAGCAAAATATAAGAATTATTTACCCCAAATTCGAAAAATATTTTTCAGATAGGGAAGTATTAAGGAAATTGTGAGTGAAAATCTTGCAAATGTATATGACGTAATAGATGGAGTAGACAAATCCACATTGCGCCCCATTTTTGAGTTACAAAACGGCAGCATTTAAGTTTTCTGGGTACACAAATTTCCCTCCGTTAGATACGAAACCATTAATAATCAAAACATCAATTAAATAATTTAGAATTTCCAGAAAAAAACTGAAGGGATTTGGATTCTTACAATTTACTGCTGTTCATTCTCGTTAAAGTGAGCCATCTTATCACTTTTCCATATTTTAATCATCAAAATATCTGCAAAACTATTGCGTTTAAGCACAGGGAGTGTAAATATCTTAAATGCAACTGCAAGCACCATCGGTGATCTCATTACTCCACATAAATGCTTGACTGCTGAACGATTCCAGCCAAGAAACGTTTATAAATTGCACTCGTCATGCAATGTATTTGAGTGAAATCGACACTTTTATCAAGAATCCTTAATGCACAATTTCATTCACATTTTTATAATTTTGGAATTTATTTTTATGAGTATTCGTCAGAATTTGTTCATATTCAGTTTTTTTGGTTTCTTATTTTTCAATGAAAAATAATAATAATAGTTCTGGTTCATGTGGGGTTACGTCACTGCAAGCACTGGCGGCTTGTTTACCATAGTGCGGTCAAACGCATTGCACTTCCCGCATGACTCATGGGATTTCAGATTATAAGACTCCAGTGGATTCCTGTGGGGGTGGGGGGGGGGGGGGAGGAGGCTAGTAAACCGTTGTTGGTTACATGCATTATCAAATGGGATGCAAACAATTAATGTAAGATATATCCTGGTAAACGCCATAACTACTTTGTGTGATTTTATGCTTGTGGATGAAATACTACTATTACATTGTTTTATTTCAGAGTACCTCGTCACCAACTGTAAGTACTAGTGCTGCCAATAGGAGATCTGGTCAAAAACGGAATCACGAAGAAACAGATATGGACAGCCCTTCCGACAGAAAATGTAACTAAATAAATACGTATTTTACTAATAATATACATTTATCTGTGCGTTTGTTCGCATTTTTTCGCATTTTGTGAAGATATCCGATGAATTTTGTAGCGTTGAAATGCATTTATAAGACGGGACCCATAAAACCCATGTTATCACTTCTAATCGCCCAAAAAGAACGACTTAACGAAAATATAATGCAGGGCACGTAATTACATCTTGATGTTACGGTTACGTGACTCCAGCCTACAGATATGTTATTCAATTATACTTCTCCCTCTCCCTTTGTATATATATTCTGAAATACCGCGGTATAGAAATTACCGCAACATACTAAAGTTATATATTTTTTATTTATTCATTCCTAAATATAGCACTGAGGGGCATGATAGAAATTGTCTTCAAGCAGCAGGAGGAGATCTTAAAACGATTGAAGACCATTGAAACCAAGGAGGAGGAAAGAAGAGGGGGAGGAGAGGAGAAAGTGGTTGTTCCACCCAACGTTCGGGTAATGAAGTTTCTATCATTTATTTGTAATGTCTTGCAACATACATGTGCAAAGCAAAATATACACTGTTTTAATATTCACTTTTATCAATATGTAATCAGATTAATTTTAAAGTTTTTACAAACTTTAAGTCAATATGTAATAGATTAATTTAAAAGTTTTTAAAAAGATATTCAACTTAATTTGATAAAGCTCTCACCACGAAGACGTGCTCCTTCTTGTATCAACTATCACATGTTAACAGATCGTGGTATTAAATGTGACAATCGGCATGTGTTTCTTGCCATGCCTCATCGAGGACATAATTAACTTCATTTAGCTGTAGTACTGGAAACATCACAGCTTATTAGTGTTTTCATTTTAACGAGCAACCTGTACTGCATTACCCTGGCCAAGAATGCTTATCTATGCAACAGGTTACTATAGATGCTCTTTCTTGAATTGGACTTCTTCATTGGTGTGGTTATCTGCGTCTTTGTCTGTAATCTTATCATTTCAACTTCTCTCCTCTACCTCGGCTGAGTGATATTTAAAATAACGCAAATATTTCATTTCATCATATGCCGTCAGATGGCCGTTAGAGATGGTTATGGCGATGGATTGAAACGTGGTCTCAAGTGGACGTTTGACCAACAGAAGTAAGATAACGTTGGTTTTCTTAAAATTAAACCTGTTTCATACACTGTAATTTGTCAAAGTTATAATCTCATATATCTCGTTAAAATAAATATTAACAATATTAACTACTGATATCGCAACTCGTAAGTTCATGTGCAGAAGGTATACAGTCCAGATTTTTAGCAATCACCCTGGCATTTTTGGTGTCAATATGCAATTATGTATGGATTATGTTGTGAGGTCTTGTAAAATGTGAATTAATAATTTCACTTAACTGCTAGGAAGTAAAAACAGAGAATTAAATTTTTAAAAGTATTTCAAAATCATAAGCTACATATATGTTGTATTTTACTCTAATCGTAGGCCGCACGATGCAGAAAACCACCCTATGACCGAACACATTATAACGTTTGTCAGGGGATGGGCTGGGAATGCTGAAGCAAGTGAGGAGGTAGTGAAATGTAAGTAAATTGCCAACACTGCATTTTCTTATACTGAGGAACTCAGCAGTAATCCCTACCAAAAGCAACTGTGAAATTAAGCGCTTTTTAAGAATGATGCTCCAAAAATCATATTACTAATTTAATTATTATTTTATTAACTATTTGCATAACCTAAATGGCTAGACAACCAGTTCTCGTTAACTTGATGAACACATTGTTTATAAATCCAACAACTGTATCCTCTTGGAAGTTGTTAGTTACTGTACGTGTCATAAAGATGCATTTTCCATACAATATATATATCGTTTATTGTCCAGGTGCCATTAAAAGATACTTTATCACAAAGAAGCAGGAAGATGGTCTAAAGAAACAGAATCAACTAGAGGTGCAGAGGCAGAAGAGGGTTAAATATGAGAGGAAGAAGGAGGTATATACCGGGTCATTTTCTCTAGATCCTGTAAAGACTTTTTGGATGAATCTTTTTTCCTAAATCTGTAAATTTTTATAGATGGATCTATTTTCTAAATCTGTATGTTTTTAGATGGATGTTTTTTCTAAATCTGTATGATTTGTATAAAAAGATTTGGAATATCATGGAAGAGACAGAGTGTTGTTGAATGTGGTAACCAATTAGATGGAATGTTTTGCAGAACATATACTCATACTTTAATTGTTTTTTTTTTCTTCAGAAAGCCAAAAGAAGGATGAAGGCGCTGCAGATCCTGTCGGCCCAAGGGTGGCAGTCTGAGGTGCGGCGCGCACAAATCAGGAGCGCCATTGAGATAAAGTATACGTCCAGCGATGAAGAGTGTGATGACGGATTCATCACACACCCCCCATCCTGGCAAAGTGACAAGTTTGCGCAGGTTAAGCGTGCTTTAGACAGGTGTTTTGTTGATAACTGTTCGCACAAGAGCAGAAGGCTACTGCAAAATAGGAAGATAGGAGCAGTCCACGTCAAATCTGCCCCTAATTGTCCAGAGGATGTCTCTTGGATTGTGAAGAAAGATTAAAAAATTTTGTAAATTGTTTTCAGTTTTCCTGAACAAATACTGCGTTATTTCAAATATTATAGAATTTTGTTTCATTATCATTATTATTATTATTATTATTATTATTATTATTATTATTTTGTTTTATATGTAGTTTTATTACAGACTGGAGAGACGGCTATGTACGTCAAGTTTAACACATACGTAACTGCCACAAGTAATTAAATTTGAATACGTTCCAGGGAATGAAGACATTTTTATCTGTACTGAGAGTGAAAGCTATTCAGAACATTTGACATAGAATAAATGACATAAGTTAATGACGTGCGTTGTTTTGTTTTAGCAAAATATGATTTTATGCCCTCGGCTAATATTACATTTAATAAGCTACAAAAGTAGCAGAAATGTATTCTTTTCTACTGTTAAAAGACATAAAAAGGTGATCTTTCCCGTGATAAAAAGATGCACAAAATTTAGCCATTTGCATACCTTTTATAAAGTAAAATATCACATGTTCGTAGAAAAAAGGTATCTAAAAGTTAACTTTGGTGACACGAAAAGGTAACGGAAAGTGAACCATTCATATGCCTTTCGACATGCAAAAGTCTAACGAATGATGATCTTTATAACGCCTTTTTTGTCAAACAAAAGATCACATTTTGTCGCAAAAGGCATATAAAAGTTAACCTTTTGTGTGTTAAAAAGGTGAAGAAAAGTGGGCCATTTGTACACCTTTTCCTCTATATAAAAGCCATAAAAAAGATGATCTTTTACGCCTTTCCTAAAAATTCGAAAGGTCTAGGAAAGGTGTAGAAAGATGGATAAAAGAAGGCCTTCTCATCAACTTTCAGCATGTACAAAAGCCAAGTTTTCATGCAGTGTTTATAGAATGCGGGTGGCAAATAAACCAATCGGGGATATTGCAAAAACCACTGAGTCGCATCTTTGCTGTCCTGCTGAATAAAGCGAATTTCCATCTAAAAGTAATGGTTTAAAGTTATTTTGGAATATTTGATTAGTTCTTTTAATTTATCGACATTATACAAAGGGCAGAGAGATGCATTTGTACTTGCTGATATCGTGCATGTTTTTCAGGAAAATGAGCTGGCCCGCTTGATTGCAGAACTGGAGAACGATGATGTTCAAGATGCTGACGATGATGAACATCGAGTTTCCGACGAATAAAGGAACTTGGACCTTCGTTTTTGTTCATCTTGGACAAGTTGATACTGGAATGTGTGCTTAATTTGTCTAAATGTCTGGTGTCTAATATTTATATCAAATATAAAAATTCGATTGAGTTCGATTGAGCACATTCAAATAAAATAAAAATTCCAAAGTTTGTGGAACCTTAAAAACTGACATTTTTCACGCCTGGCTGTCGCTTTTATTCCCCCGCCAAGGAGGTTATGTTTTCACCCCTGTTTATGTTTGTTTGTTTGTTTGTCTGTCTGTCATCAACATAACTCCAAAATTTATGGACCGATTTTGATGAAATTTTTAGGAACTGTCAGAAGTTGGCCAAGGAACAGATGATTAGTTTTTGGTGGTGATCCAGATCAATGATCAACCAATAATCAATAATAACCAAAAGTTGCTGCCTTGGCGGAGGTCTGCGCTCTCGGAGTGCTTTTCTAATTGATTAGAAAACCAAAGTCGTAAAATCGCTACATGATTTTAAAACCGGATGCAAAAAAAAAAAAAAAAAATATATATATATATATATATATATATATATATATAACGACCTCGGTAGTCTCTCACAAAGAAAAAAAAATTTGCATGCTTTAACAGATCACTTTATTTTTGCGTCACCAATGCACGTTGTTGGCATAAAATTCTTGGACTTTTAAATCTTGCTTGGGTTGTCAAAGCAGGGAATTATATCCTATATAATTATATCCTATATAATTCCCTGGTCAGAGGTACATTAGAGGACTTTGAAGTTGAAAATTCGTTCACACAATTTAAATAACACAAGGAAAATAAATCAATAACTAAATTAATAAAAGCATACCTTAAATAATGCGATCATGCTGATCTTTAAACACAACCTCTGTTATCATAAAAATAAAATATCTATAGTTAAGCACGTAAAAGACGAACGTCGCAAATTATTCATATAAAACGGCAATCAGTATACATACACTGATTATTTAAATAAATACCAAATTATTTGTACCTTGTAACGAGGTTATGTAAAAGATCTGCAAATTTGTGCTAGACGAATTTTGACTTGTGGCTCTGTGTCAAAGTATTAGATAGACCCCGAGTCAGCGAGGGTTATGTGGCATCCACGAGTGCGTAGCACGAGTGGATGTCACATAACCCTCGCTGACGAGGGATCTATCTTATTTAGACCACGGTCCATTAGCGGGTTATAACCCATTCATGCTAGACGTGCTGTTATGCGAGTTACACCACGTCTGAGTCTTTTGTTCTTCACTTCCACCGTGGTCTAATCCATTATAACTGACACCCAATCTACACAAGCTTCCATTTATGTACATAAAAAAAAACAGGCAACAGTTATGTCGTTAAGAATTTTTAATTTGGCACCATCCATTTCAATTCCTAGTTCAGATGAAGTACGTTTCATCTCATTCCTAGTCTTACGTTTCCCCAAGCTCCTGCGAACACGATGATGCGGTAGATCCCCCACAGTGAAAGGAGAAATGGCCACCCTGTTTCGCTTTGGATAAGCCGACCCAGCCCAGTTCTTTATCTCACGCTGAAAACACTCGTTGATGTGACCCGTTGTGACAGGAATGGTAGTCCTAGGAATGGAAGTCCGGGGTCCCATATGATTAGTACTGGTTAGGGTTAGTCGGAGTATAGGGGTTTGTGTATGGGATGATTGTCACCTGTTTAAAGTAATGGAGAACGGACTAATGTTGGTTGCTGACACATGGAATGATATACACCCAAAGCATCCGTAAAAAGTAAAAGCGTTAATATTTAGTATTGATATTTTGTTGGTGTTGACTACCACAACATGCCAAATTCCCTTATTTTAAATCTGGTTTTGTATTGTGCTTTTTTAAAATTTTGTATACACTTGAAAATGCAGGTGTTGTTTTCTCCAAATCTGAACTTTGATATTAACGCCACAGCAGTGGCAAATGTAAAAAAAAATAAAGTGTTTAAACATATTACTATATATTTGCATCAAAGAGTCGTTCCAAAGGTGTTATATAATATTAAAGAATATTATCGTCTTACTCACCATAATAACATTATGCAGATAAGAGAGGTCGGTATCCTGCTGCAGAAAAAAACACCCTCACGTGACCAGACGCTCACATTGCCATTATTTTTTTCAATAAATGTATAGATTAAAGGTCTGGGACTTTCAGCCCCGATGTATAATGGGTTTTCTGCGTCTTTGGTTTTGTCAAGGCGGTAGATGGCCGTCACACTGTCGATTATATTGAAAACGAAAGTAGAAAATGAAAGTATTATATTGCAAAATGTGAAACTCAATCTCAAAATTATCAACGAATGACTCGTATCTAAATAGTGAAGCGAAGTTATTATGCCCGGTGATTCGTGATTTCCAGGATGATTATCGACGTGCATTATCAATGAAATATGAATGAAGTTTTATCTACCTTGATTTGTAAATTGGTAATTTTATTTCCCTAGTGGGTCTCTCTACTTAGCCCCCCCCCCCCCCCCCCCCCCCCCGCCCCCCCCATACGAAAGGCCAATCTTATCAAGTATTAAAGTGAACAAACTTTAGGAATTGAAATAATATCCAGGGTTCCATTTTTGCGGGAAGGGGGGGGGGGGGGGGGAGAAGAGGCATTAATCACAGTTTACAGGTAATAAAATAATCAATTCACAAATCACGGTAATGACACTTTACTTATATCTAAACTATGATGCAATGCGAAAAAACCTAAAAATCATGAATCGTCGGGTNCCCCCCCATACGAAAGGCCAATCTTATCAAGTATTAAAGTGAACAAACTTTAGGAATTGAAATAATATCCAGGGTTCCATTTTGACGGGAAGGGGGGGGGGGGGGGGGAGAAGAGGCATTAATCACAGTTTACAGGTAATAAAATAATCAATTCACAAATCACGGTAATGACACTTTACTTATATCTAAACTATGATGCAATGCGAAAAAACCTAAAAATCATGAATCGTCGGGTATAATCACTGCGTTTCACGAATGGCGTTAAATAAAACGCCGCATTCACGAGTCTCGAAAATGGGAATTATAGTGTAACCGTTTCACGCATCTCAGAAAATAGAAAGTGGCTTTTACAGGTTATGAAAATATCCAAAAGGACACAAAAAACCATGGACATAATAAGAGACCTTCTCTTATTATGTCCATGCAAAAAACCAAACTTTATAGGGGCATAAACATGGACTAATTTTGAATGTTGGAATGGATTTATTAACCACTGGTAAATTTGAGAAAATCGCAGTTTTTTACTCCTGGAAATCCATTTTGGCCAAAACGAACAGCTTTATTTTCTTTTGGCTTTTAAAGAGTTTCAATGCCAAAGATAAATAAGTGCATTTACCTGTAACCGTACATTGGACGAATTGCGTTAGTTGTGCACATCGCATTCCTTGCTTTTGCCTAGGTGGAGAATTTACCTTGTTCTCAAGAATACGAGGTCGTAAAGTATTTATACACTTTAAAACACAAAGAAAATTTTTTTAAATTGTGTTATTAATGAACTATAAACAGTATTTAACTGATTGATACAATAGTATAATGTATTTTGACTGATATTCTTATTTCTATATTTCGATAAATTAGGGAATGTGGTATGCATGCGCTTTCTTTTCGTCAGCCGCCATCATGGGTTTTGCTAACGTGTGGAACTCGCACCCAAAGAAATTCGGCCCAGGCTCCCGCACTTGGTAAGTAAACTAATTATACAATTGTATTTAATAACTTGAATATGTTGACATCCTTTTTATAGTGATTATCGCAGTGTCTTATGTGATAAACGTCGAATGTCAAAGGATTTATTCGGAATGTTTTATATTAATTTGCTGGCAGTCTAGAAGGAGTGTTAGATACCAGCTTGGCAACGATTTTATATCCCTTACTCCTGTTTATTCATTATTCATGTAACGATAAAATAAAGATGAAATAACTCATTGTCATAGATAGACTTAAAAAAAAAAAAAGTATCACACATTNAAAGGCATTAAAGGCATTGGTCACACACACACACTCTTAAAGGGTATCGGAGTTCAAAGAAGCGTATCGGCAAAAAAAGAAGCGTATCGGCAAAAAAAATAGCGTATCGGGGCCGATACGCTATAAAGGCCTGGGGAGAACCCTGACATTGCTTTTAAACCATAGTCGGAATCCACTAATGTGCATCCACGCCATTTTTCTGAATGCTTGCTAATGCTTTTCAGAGGAAACTTGTATGTTAGAAAAACGTGACGAATTCCAAACTTCAAAGCCAATATATTGCATTGTTTGCTGTGTGTAGTATATTGTTAACCTCGTTTCTATTTACATTACAGCCGAGTGTGTTCTAATCACCACGGCTTGATCAGAAAATATGGTCTGAACATGTGCAGAAGATGCTTTAGAGAATATTCTGCAGACATAGGATTCAAGAAGGTGAGGATTGGGGTGGTGTTAAGTCACTATGCAGAAACACGGCTGGGGTTAGAAGTGAATTTGACACATTTGAAAATTTCCCAAAATAATTTTTTTTCCTACATATTTTCCCAGTTTTGACAGTTAAGAACGTAACTGATGCTGATTGTTCCTTTTGAAATGTACAGGAAGATATTGCTTTAAAATTAAAATAAAACAGCAAATCTAAGTGTAGGGACAGGTTGAGCAATGATCTGTGAAAAGAAATTGCATGGTAAAATTGATGTAGGCAGATAAATCTAGCACATCTTTAACTACATTGTCAATTAACTTTTACTGTATAAGTCTAACCACTATTGGGCTTTGAAGTTTACACTAACCATATGTAAAAGATTTTCATTTGGTATTAACTGAAACTTAGGAATATTGACTTACTCAAGGCAGAGAGAAATTCCAGTAAATTTGCAGTTACCCAAGTTCCTAGTTATGCAAGAATAGCTATGGTTCATAGTTAACACATCTATAATAAATGGGTTGATCTGAAATTTTATGGGTTTTATTTGCCTAATGGCTTTGAACATGTTCTTATAAGTCTGATTACAAATATTACATTGTTCTGTATTAGCAACTACTATTTAACATAGATCAAAGATTTTAAATAGAAAGTTTCAAGTAAAATAAGTGAGTAAAGACTGTAAATGGTGATCTAGACATCCATTGACCGACACACTTGAAGATTTAATAAAAAATTTGTATCGTTTTTCTACTTAGTCGCAACTTAAACAATTTGATTAAATAAGAAGCATGTATGTGGACATAGACCTTCTCACCGTAGAGAAGTGATTATAAAATGTTTCATATTTCATTTTTTACAGCTTGACTAAAGATTCCATGCTCATTGACCCGAGAAGATGCATTTTACTTGTGAAGAAATGGCACCCTGGTGGCAAAACCTCACCAACCTGTGATGAAGGGCTGCGATGTTGATCGGTAGACATGGCTGTTCAGCTTTATACAGAAAAATTTGCCCAGAATCCTCAGAACTGTGCGAAAGAGCAAATTTAAAATGCATTTTTTAGGGTGTTATTATCATTTATGAAAATAAATTGTAAAAGAAAATTTGATGTGTGTTGTTTAATGGGTTGTGTGTTGTAGCCCTCTTCTATTGTTATGATGCTTTCAAGAAGTATTGAATTCAGATTTTTCTACACTTTGAGAGTTTTTTGACAAAATAGTAAAAGTTACATCTAGTTCACAACTTGAACACGTCAAACAATCTGAATGCCAGTTCGAGTACAATCAACTGCTGAATGTTAAGCATGTCCTTCCCCCCCCCCCCCTTCACATTGTTATAAAAATAAGCAGTGAATGGCATTGCAATCGAGTGTTGCAACTGCTGAGAACTATATGAAACTATTTTGGTAAGCAAAAATTCCAAAACAAACTTGTGACCTTTATTAGTTCTTGACAAGATTGACAGTCACATAGCAAACCTGCCAGAGTAAAATGGTTAAACAACAACATTGCTAAGGAACCTGTTTTATTTGTTTCAGTCTCATGCAAATAAATAAATGTCTATGTTTTGAACATTTAACACTTAAACTACTTGTCCTGTAGCTTCTGGTATTACCATAGGCAAGCTGTTTACTACCTCCAATTAAGGTCTGCAATGCCTTCTTCACTGTTGATTGCACAGAAAGAATGCTGCCATGATCGTGCTATTTCAAGTTGTTTGAGGTATGGATACACTTCAAGAAAAGGAAACCAAGCACTAATCTATTTCACTTTCACAAGGAACAACATCTCAGTTCTTCACAACTTTTCCCCCTCTATTTTCCTGCTTAAAGCATTAGGGGCAACCTAGTAGCTTCTTCCAAAGAGGCAGTACTTGATTGGCTTGGCCTTGCAGTCTGGGTGGATACACTTCATGTCTGCCTTTATATCCCCTGGCTGCTGGAATGGATAGCACAGACTTTTGGCTCCCATAGATGGCGCTCCCTCCTCCACCACTGCATCTCTGAAATCACACATACGCAGGACTCATTACACAAAAGTCAAAACATATTTGGGGGAATGCTTATCACATGAATGGGGAAACATGATTTTTTTTTCTACCAAAGTGTGCATTAATTTAGTGACAATTGTCTTGTGAGCTCAAATATAATTGTTTGGCTAAGTTGTTTTAGCCTAAAGTGAGTCTAGTTCATATGCCCTGCAAATGTATGTAATAGTCAAATTTGACAGAAAAATGGTCTCGGTAATTAATATTTGGGATGAAAACCGGATATCCATACATCTGTCTATTGCTTGAATACCTGCCACCATGACGTTAAGCTGATGTTCTTTTTATTTTTCTTTGAAATTGGAAATACATAGCAACCACTCAATAACTATTGGAAAGATAAATTTTCTTTCTTGAGTGAGTTTATGTCTTGGTTGACCATTAGTATTATAACTAACATAAAACAAGGGATGCGAACAAATGTATTGGGCATGGAATGTAATTAGCAGTTAGTGAATATTTTAACTTACTGAAGCTGTTTTTAATTTAAAAAAAAAGAAAAAAAATCCTGGGCAGGGTATCTAAATAATAGGCATTTTAGTGCAGCCATAAAAAGTCTCAAACCATTCCAAGTTTCCAGGCTGAAAATCCAAATTAAATTAACATAACTAAAAAGCAGATGGCTAAGGCTGTTGGCACCATTCCATTAAATGCTCCTAAAACAAAAACTGCTGTTGGTTGCTACTATAGTAAAGATTTCCATAAATGTGGAACACACCATGCCAGACCAACCTGTGGCCCTGTGGCATCTGTACCGAGCAACAGAACAGACCATGGATCCAGCTAAAGAAACCCCGTTCTTCTGGACCACTTTTGGCAGTATAGAAGCTACAAGGTGACAGTCAAATACTTTCTTTAACCAGCAAGATGTCCTATATCTAAAGGCTCTAATTTTCTAACTGCATACAATGGCCTATTACAACCTTTGGAGCACCTTGTCTAATATATTTTCAAGATTGACATATTTTCTGTATCAGATACCCATTGAAGAATCAGGATAACAATGGTAAAAACTTTTTAAATAGATTTATTTTCTTATCAGATCTAATAATAATGTAAATACTGTACCTTGCACTATCCTTCTTGATTTTCTCTTCACACTCTCCCTCCCCACAGAATGGAGACATGATGATCTTCTTCTGGTCCAGCTGATGGCAGAAGTCCTGCCAGTCATGGCTCAGGGCTACATATTCATCTTGGATCTTTTTGGCTCTGCAACAGAAATTTTGTTAATATTTTAATTCATTTGCCAAAATATTAAACAAAATTGAAAATAAATAAATTATGAGAATTATAAATTAAAATACATGAATAGATTGCTTTAAATGTTGCTTAAATAAGTAGTAAATTTTTGCTTGTACTTCAGTAGAAACAACATCTTCATGCAAAGGATTGCCCACGTAAACACACATCAATTCATGTTTTTTCTTCCTTTTCTCCCCACGTAACAGTAACAATTTTTCATTATATGCAGCTTCCTGTGTGTATAAATTCTGGGAAGCATTAGATTTTGTGTAGACTTACTTGGCAAACAAAGAAGACTGAATGTCCTCCAACAATTTCTTGATTCCCTCTGCAGCACTGGCCTGTTTCAAGGTAAGTTTATCCCCGGTGTCTCGCCTCACAGCAACCAGTTCTCCATTCTTAACATCTCGTGGACCTAACTCAATCCTGACTGGGACACCCTAGGAAATATTGAACATAAAAACTTAAGTTAACTGATTCAGTCCATTGATCACTTCAAAACTATGTTACCACGTGAAAATCAACTAATTGGAAGATGAAACACAAATAATTACTAATTGAACTAGTAACTATGACACTGAAAAAATGACACCTATTTTTTTCACTCGTCCAATGCCAAACCTACAAGTCAATCACAATATATTGCTGTAACAATTAAGATAACATGTTGTGTTTTAGCATAACATTTGTAAGTACCTTAAGCTCCCAATGGTTGAACTTCCACCCTGGTGAGTAGTTGTCTCTATAGTCACCCTTAGCTTTGATTCCTGCCTGTACTAGAATATTCTCTAGCTCCTCACAGCTTTTTATAAGACTCTGCCTGTCTGCATCTGATAGTGAGGCAGTGATGCCACACGGAACCACGATGGCCTAGGAATAAAATAGAACATTAATCAGGGTGCTAAACAAACTTTCTCTACATCAAAATCCAAATTGAAACAAACTTTCTCTACATCAAAATCCAAATTGAGAGGAAATACAATTTTCTTAAGTCTGAAATGAAGGAAAAAAGTTCATGTGATGATATATAAACCTTATGAAAAATACAGTGCCATATAAAATAAAATGTATAATTCTGATATATTTTAAAATTTTGAGACATTTTATCCTCATGGACTCATTATATTTTTTAATATTTTTGAAAACTAAAGAAGACCTACCAATGTTTGAAGAACATCCGCAATTTAGAAGTAAATCTTCAGAATACACATAATAAAAATGTCAAAAATAAAAGCTGCAGACGTCTTACCTGCACAGATGCTACTCTAGGTGGCAGCACCAGGCCTGTATTGTCTCCATGCACCATTGCCATGACACCAATGGTCCTGGTGGTGATACCCCACGAGTTCTGGTGGACGTGCTCCATCTCCTGAGTGTCTGGGTTCTCGTACATTATCTCAAACATTTTTGAGAAATTCTGACCCAAGTGATGGGATGTGGCTCCCTGAAAGAAAAACAAGCAAAAACTTATAGATCATAAAATGAGCCATATTTTTTTATTAATAACAAACAGACAGTCTTATTGATAAATTTTAGTTCTCTAAGAAACAAACTTAATTTTTTTTAAAATATATATTATACATATCATTAACAATTTCTTGAAAATATTAATTTTAGTGACATTGCAAATCGGGTTTCACTAAAGCATCATAATTTATATTTAAAAAAACAACCTTTCTATATTAATTCATCACAGAGATCAATACCAACCTGAATTCCTCTGCCACTAGCAGAAATGTATATTTCAGTGGTTGTAGTGAAGTCTCCTCCAGCAAACTTCTCTTTCTCTGTTTTTCTTCCCTTTATTACAGGAACTGCCAGCAGCTCTTCATACACTCTGGCATACAGATCCAAGATTTTAAAGACCTGCAATAAATAAAATATGTTCATTGTTCACTGTAGTATAGATTTAGATCTTGTGCAGATCAGTATACACCAAAATCTTCTGTCCTTGTACATAAGGAGGGGAGGGGATCTGGTAAAAGTCCACACTTGTAGACTTGTGAAAATAATGGTTAAAACGGATGACTCCTTATGACTAAAATTCTTTTGTGAAATTAAACATCCCCTGCAGCATAGACATTCATCACTACATTGATCTAGAGACTTATCTTTAAAACATAATTCTAAAGGTTATCTGGTGGTTATCCCTGCCTACCTCATCCTCAGCCTCTGCTCTGGTAGCAAATGCTGTGTGTCCTTCCTGCCACAGAAACTCTCTGGTTCTCAGGAAAGGCTGAGGATGCTTGAACTCCCATCTCTGTAAAACAGTACATTCATATGTTGTAATATATACAAATAATGTAGACATTTCTGCCTTATTTAGACCAAATCAATATTTTATATTCCATCAGTGAGAAAAAAAATTGCAGAAAAGCCAAAGGAATATATGTTTTACATTTCTGGTGGTCAAATAAGAACAAATTCACCAATTGACTAAATTGTACTATGCCCTAGAGAACATGGACCAATGTTTTTACCCTCTTACAAAAATTTTGACTGATGTAAACATCAGATATTACAACATTCATTTAATATCTACCATAGCATTCATTTACTACCCGCCACAGAATTTATCTAAATTAATCCCTACTTTAAATGCAATCAGTACTTACTACAACATGTATCAACTACCTACCACAACATTGCACCACTGGTTCAGTCTGACAGGCAAGTCTCGGTGGGATCTGATCCATTTGGCATAAGATGGGTACATCACAGTTTCGCTGGTTGGACGTATGGCAATAGGCTCGTTCAGATCTGATTGGCCAGACTTCGTCACCCAGGCAACCTAGGTTAAAAAGACTGATTTTATATAACATCTTGGTTTGTTCTTGATATCCTTAGATATGTGCTACAATAATTTGATTTGAAAAAAAAAAATTATTAAAAAAATAAAAATAAACATAAAGAAAATTAATATATTGAATAAAATGATTTGAATCTAATTTTCCCTGTAAAACTATAACAGTTTCTTAGTTTTTCATTTTCAATTTCTAAATTTTCTTTTATGAGGCAAATCTTGCAATAACTCTGTCCACCTATTTGCTGAAGAGGAAAACGTGTCAATTAAAAAAAAAAAAACTACATTATTCATAAATTTTAATGAAGAGGGTTGTATAAGGACAAACTAAAAACTATAATTGTTTTAAACTTCATAAAACATAAACGACCACTTACTTCTGGGGCAAAGTCTGCAATGTGTGTCTTCTCCCTCTCCAAGGCAGCATGGGAGACAAACATGGGGAAGTAGCAATTCTCAACGCCTAACTTCTTGATCTCTGCATCAAAGAAGTTCTTGATCTCGTCCCAGATAGAGTAGGACCATGGACGCAGAATGTAGCAACCGCTCACATCATAGTATTCTATCATTTCTGCTTTTGTAATCACCTAGAAAATAAGTAGAAAATAAACAACTTACCATGAGCTCTGTATCTTTGAATGACCCAGAAATTTAAACATTTCTTCTACTACAACTACTGTATTATGTATTGACATACAGAACACATTTTCTATTCAATATGGAAATTCACACATATGGGGTGGGGAATTATTAAGGGTCTCAACAACTTGTAGCCATAAAACAGGCCACCTTTTACCTGGAGTACATTTCTAAATTCTTTTAAATATTATCACAGACACCAATCTTTAGAGACGTTGTTGTCATCCATTTTTTTTTTTTTTGGTTTCTTGTAAACAATTGGCATTTACAAAAAATAATTTTATTACAATTTATGAGTTTTATGAATACTTTATGTACCTGAGTGTACCATTCTGAAAGATTTTCCTCCTTTTTGGCCTCTAAACCCAACCTGAAAAAGAAAGAAAATAAGATAATATTGTTAAATTCTTAATATCACAATAGGTGCACATGTATGTTGATATATCTAACTTTTTGAAAAACACTTTATTGTGAGAGTAATTTTATTGTTATTATCCTTGCTGCATACATATTATTATTATTATTATTATTATTATTATAATTACTGCCATTATATAACCAAACACTGGTTACTGTTAAACAAAATGAAACACAGCATGTATCTGTGCCAATAAGACCCCTACCTAGTGACCTTCTTCACTTCCCTGCCTGCATCTTCTTTAGCTGGCTTCTGCTGTTTTGGTTCAGCTGCCTTGCCGCCTTTATTTTCTTTCTTCCCTTTTTTGTCCTTCCTTCCACCACCACCCCCAGCAACATCCTCTCCTGTCAGTTGTTTATATTCTGCCTTGAGACTCAGGAGGACCTTCACTTCTTCATCTACCTGATCCTGTTCAAAACATGAGAGATTTTTGCATAATTCTTTCCCAGAGTATTGTGGGTTCAAAGAAAACTCGAGTGCAAATAACTCTGAGTTTGGCTATTGTTTTGAAAAACAAACAAACAAACAAACCACCACCACTACTACTGTTTACTGACCCAATAAATATATGTAAAGTGCATATCATCAGAAATATTTTCACTGTCCTAACACTATAATAAAAAGAAGCATAACACAGAAAAAAAAGATCGACAATTTTCATGTCTAGAGGCCTATATTAAAGTCAGTGAAACCACCTTATATTATCATTCCATGCAACACCACTCACCTTGGGTGCACCACCTGTCTTGAGCTGCCTCACTTTTTCTCCCTGTGCCTCTATTTTCCCCTTCAGAGCCAGGGCCTCTGGGCTCCCAGCGGCAGCCCCACTGTTCTCCTTATTGTCCGCCATCACTGGTGTCGTCTGCTGCTGTTGTGGTATTGTGAGACCTGGTTTCCAGTCAAGACCCGTGGACTGCTTAAACTGCTCTTTAAGCCCCAACAGAACTTTCACTTCTGGGTCAATTTGGTCCTTAAGAGAAAAATCAATAATTGTGGTGACTTTGATAATGTACCAACGTGTTGAATTATATAAATTTGGGGAATAATCTTTACACTTTTATTTTACACAAATTATATATATATATATATACTTTATATATAAACTGTGTATTGCCTTATGAGTACCATGTATTGCAATATACCTTCTGTGTATTGCCTTACACATACTGTGTATTGCAGCATACATGTACATAGTGCGTATTGCTTAATACACAATCTGACCTCACTGATAACAGAAAGAACATATTTCTTGTTCCAAGCAGCCATGTCTTCTTAAAACTTTTATCATGTACATGTCTAATAACATCTCTCACCTAATTTTTCTCTGCCAAAAGAGCAAAATCTCAACCACTCAGATGTACCAAAGCTGGGAAATACACGTTGCTAATATAGGCACAGCTATGCAAATACCTTTAACATTTGTCTGAATTTACTACAGTTTATAAGCACATCTACATTACCTCAAATTAAACTACAGTGCTCATAGGTAATTATTAAGCATAGCATATATAGTAGGACATGCAATGTTAGGGTTGCCTACTCATAACATAGTGTACGCATTATTTAGTATCAATTCCCATTGTTTTTACCGAGTTCTCCTATTGTTAATTAAAATAGCACACACTGGAGCTTTTGCATTTTGAGCCCAGTAATTACCCACGCATAGCAATCATCATATTCATGAGGTCTGGTGTCTTAGCACTGTATAATGAGGCTCCAGACAAAGAGAATACATTGCACACCTAGGGACACCTGTAATATATATAGGTCAACTCTCTTTGGACTGCTTTAAGTCATTCTCATGAAGCATCTGACTACTAAACTGCACCCTGAGTTGGTACAAATCATGACTGACACAGAGAAGTAAAAACACATACCCCTTTCTGTTACAACCAGCTAGGTTCCCCCTCCCTCTCTATCCCTCCATTACACAGACCCTGTACATGTGTCAACGTGGCTGACCATAAAGGAATCCCATATTGCACTGTTGTGACCTAGTTTATTGCACTGCTGTGACCCAGTTTCTGGCTAATTCAATAAAGCAATGCAAAAGCTCCTTTCACTTATACACAGGTATGAGCAGTGGTCTGAACACAGGTGTTCATACACCTGTAGAAAGGCAGAGTGGATGACCAAGTGTACTACTGGCTCCCCTTGGCACACTCCTTGGGTTTATCAAATAATATTATTTTCTTTGAAAGTTTATATCATAGAGATTCTAACATTTACAAAATACCACACATTGTTATCATCAATCATTATAAAAATATTCTTCTACTAAAATCCATCACTTCATTTTTCAAAGTTTGATACCAGATGTCTACAATGTAACCTTTTCTCAAATAGATAAGATAAAACATTTTTTTTTGTGAAAAAGAATAAAATAGATGCTTATTTAATTTTTTTTGATTTCATACATTTTGATAAAATATTTATATAAGACATAGGAAGAGCTCTTTAGAAAGGCAAATGGAATCAAACAAGATATAACTTCTAATTTATCTACAGAAAAGATTTAAATGCCACTATTTATTTTTTTAGGTCTCATTTATCACTTTCAAATTTCTCATTTGGCAAAAAATATCCAGATATTTCACTAAAAGAAATATTATCTTGAGTTGAGGACAAAAAATTGGTACTGCTGAATGCAATCAGATTAACACACTTCCTTTTGTTTTCAACATATTTGCATAATCATCAGCTTCTCTGTATTCTACTCAATGCCAGGAGGAGGCTAGTTAATCTTTAAATCGGATTGCATTCATAGCCCTGCAGAGTAAGTTAAAAGAATTTATACAATAGATTCATTGAAAGCACCCCTAGTATCCTTGGTGAAGCACTCTATCTGCAAGTTGAAATTACTACAACTAGACACCAGTGTATTCATTTACTCCACACCACTCAGAGTTCGTTTCTGTCATGAGATAGCTTTTAGGTGATGCAACAGTTAGGATCAATTCAGAATTTTTTTAAATACATTGATGTTTTAGCAACATCTATCAGTGACATTACACGTAATTGAAGTTCATGGAATACTTTTATCCAAAACTTATAATTTCTGAACAAAAAAAAAAAAAAAAAAAAAAAAAAAAAAAAAAAAAAAAAAAAATTTGTGGCCACACTCTTGATCTTGTGTTGGAAAGTTATTAAATTGTAACACCACCTGAGGTAAGGCACCTAGTCTACTTGCCGACCATAATAAGATAAACATTATGCTAGGATGTGGCAGACCACAACAAGTGTCACTGTACACCTACCCCAAGTCAAAGTATAGGATAACAGTATGAACCACTTTTATTATAGCTCCCCTGGGTGCTGGTCTTTTTCAGATATTTCAGCCACACTCCTGTTGATGATTATGTTTTCAAAACACCGCATAGGGTAAGTACCCCCTTTTACAATTTGGACCAGTTTAGTAATTGCAGATCATTTAAATGTGTAATTAAAACAGAATTACAGCTATTTTAATTGAGTTTAAGACATTCTGCTATCTCACCTTTGGTGCTTTCTGGCTCTTCAGGTCTCTTATCTTGTTTCCCTGGGCAACAATTTTCTCGTTCAATTCTCCTGCGTCTGCCCCAGCAGCCGAAGCACCAGTAGTGGCAGGTGCCTCCTTAGGCTTACTTTCTCCCTTGGCTTTCTGTTTCCCCGCATTCCCTCCACCGCTGGCTGGCTTCCAGTCCTTCCCTGTGGCAGCTTTGTATTCTGCCTTCAGAGCCAGGAGAGTTTTCACTGCAGCATCCACCTCGTCCTGAAAATACAGGATTTTTCAACAATAAATACAACAGTTGTAGTTAATTTCATTTCAATGATAACCCAATCATATAAATGAATTGTAAGGTGAGAAAACTGCACGCATGCAGACATACTTGACCTTTCCTGAAGTAACTTGTTTTTAGTCCTGGCCATCACTATTTTAACTGTGTTACAACTTGTTGTACTTTGCCCTCATTTTTTTATTAAACATTTCTAATAACCAGGGTTATTTCTTTGGCTCATCTTCACATTTGTTCGAAGTAAAACTAAGTAGCTCTTAGTTATCAAAATAGTTCCCTAAAAACAACGGCTAAGATCTGAGTAATCTACATTCCAATGTTTTTGTTTCTGCAAAGAGGAAATTATCATAGAAACTGAGTGTAAAACACAGCTGATTAAATTCTACACTGCAGAAGCAACTCCTACACAAAAGAATTCATTACCTTAGCAGCTTTTTGGCCCTTGAGTTCCCGGACTTTATTTCCCTGATCAGTGATCTTTTTATCCAATTCTGCGGCATCTCCAGTCAGTGCAGGAGGCTGCTCCTCCTGGGGTGACTTCTCTGCTGCTTTGCCTTTCTTACTCTGGGCCTTCTACAATGGTTAAAAGAAAAATAGTCTTGCTTAAAATGAGGTACATGAATGACCCATTTTGACAAATTTAGATACAATGGGGGTGGTTATAAGTTGTTTTTCCATTCTTATCCTCTACCTGAGAAAAAATAACTGACTCCTGGACCTTGTATCAAAAAAATAATTTTGGGGTTTAGCTAAGTCTTAGCTAAGACTAATATCATACTTTAGCCATTTCTGGAATAGCCCTCTGCTTCAAATGAGGCAAGTGAATGTTTGCAAATGGAAATGTAAAATTTACTCGCAAGAATGAGGACTTCTTAAATGCTTTGGTTTTTAATTCAGTGCCTAATCAGATAAAAAAAATTCAATTTAAGTGGACTGCTATAGATTCACCCCGTGTCAAAACAGACTACAATTTACTTAAAACTAAGACCAACTATCCTCTTCTATTCTTTTGCGAGACTGGCCTCTGCTTACCTCTTTGGCTCCAGTGTCTTTGGGTTCCTTGTGTTTTGAGCCAGCTTTTGGCATCTCCTTGACATGACCATCTGGGATGTTGATCAGGACACATGGACTGGCTAGACTGGTGTAGCGACTGGGAGGGTAAAAACAGAACTGGACAGTAAAACTGGCATATACACATATTTCAATCAAAAGATACAAAACATACAAAACCAAATTGAACCTGCGTTTTATCACTGTGTATCATTAAAAGGCTTTTAATTAAAATTTTTGAAATAAAAAGTTGACCATGATGATTTACCTTGGGGGTTCATATGGTGAGTCACATACAAAATAACCCCTTCTCTGGATCTGAATCATGTCTCCTTTCTTCAGAGACATCAACTCTGGGTCTCCAACCATCACGGACTCAGTCTAGTTATTAAAAATGTATAAATCACAATTTGTGTACATGGATATAAAGTAAGAATGTCATTAAAATACATTCAAAATGAGCAAATTTATTATTTTTCACCAGCCTCTTGAAAACAATGAATCGAAATTATAACCAAGAGAAGAGAAGATTAACTTTAAAGAGCCATTTGCCATTTACTTAAAAGACATAACATTACTATGCTAAGTGAAGTGAAACTTTAAATTTATATGAGATTAAATAAGTAAGTAAAATAAATTTACCCTAGAGTTTCTATTTATGTAGTCTTTAAAGTCATCTTCCTTGGCCAGCACAGGTTTGCTGATGATGTTGTCATAATAAATGCAGAGAGTAGGAGTCATGGGAGATTTCTCAGTGTCTGCCAACCAGGTCACTTTCTGGGTCTTCTTGAAATCCTACAACATCAAAATTGTATTAAATGCAGTTGTATTTCTTATACCCATTTGCTGAAATATGTATCAAATATTCCCTAAAAGCAGCTGTTAAAACAAACTATATAAAATTTTAATAACAGTTACAGACACAAACTTTCAAAGATAAGCAAGTCCATATATGCCAGCTATGCCATACTTTCAATAATAATAATAACAAGCTTTACCTCATGTATAGCACTGCATTTTATGTGGAGACTTTAAAAACCTACATAAACACATAATTAAGCTACTGTTCAATTGAACTTACTGTATTGTCCAGTTTTAGCTCAGCCTCCAAAGATTCCACTTTCCCATCATTATTCCTATTGAATAAAAATAATTTCCACAAAATTTAATCCAAAATTCTTTAACGTATCTCTGAAAGTGAGCGTATATACATATTTTTAAAATTGTTTGCTCTTAATGTCTATGACACCCAGAAAAAGAGATAAAATTCTATACAGCATAAATCCAAAAGCAAAAGGTGTCCACCTAAAAACATTTAATTCTAATTATATCTTTGACATTAACTAAATAACATACCATAAACTGAGAGTATGAAAATAATTGAATACTAATTGAATACAAATCATATCCAAGATTTTAAGAAGCCCTAGACAGAACCACTAACTTGTTTATCTTGGTAATGACCAAGTTGCCCCAGTTAATGAAAGTAGCCATTTCTCCCACAGACAAGTGCTCAGCATCAGCGCCATCTATGAACACAGTAGGTGAGAACCAAACTTGCTTGGTGCCAACATCAGGATTCTGTAACCAAGGAAACAGCATAATGCATCTTCACATATACATTTATTAGGATAAACCATTTGTATATGCTTAAAGAATACATCCAACTCATTAGACATACACACGAATGCACACATACTCTATACAGACAATAAGATGATTGTACAGTATACCAAACTCAGTCTGAATGAAGGGTTAAAAAATATATATATATAAATAAAGGCTGGCATATATACAGACAGCATGGTGAGGTCTAACCAAACCTCTACTCCAGGACAATGTGACCTCTATTCCTGTACCTTGGGATGCCTGGCCACTTCCTTGTGTCCCACTGTGGCTCCCTTCACAGACACCGGGACAACCTCAGACTTCAGGAGAGCTGTGTGCCTAGGCACCACTGGATCTATGACCTGGAGATATTGATAGGAGAACTTAAATAAGTATTTCATTGTGCTAGCATACAGGCACAGACACAAAAATCTGTTGTTTGTAAAACAGCATAAGGTCATGCAAGAATAAGACAAATTTCAAGTTGAGGGAAGCAGCATCTTTGGACCACAGGGCAACTTCTTTTGGCTCACTCTAGCTAGAGAATGCTAATAAAACAAATTCTAGTTTGCCAAATTACAATTTTTTTTTTTAAGTTCTTTTTTTTTACTGATTTAGTTTTTAGATTAAAATGTTGATTTGGCTAAAAATATTCAGATATTTCACCAAATTCCATAGTAACACATCTTAAACCCTTTGTAGAACCATTTTCGTAAAATTTTAACTGGTAAACTATGTTCTCATTTAAGTAGATTACCACTCATCTTGGGTCAAAACCGAAAAAAAAAAAAAAAGTCTCAAAGTTAAAATGAACTTCTAAATCAATTGTTGAAAATTGCCCCTGAATCAAATTTTCTGGAGATCAATTAATTGTTAAATTTTGTATCATAAAATCAGCCAGGATCAATTATATATCCACATAGTGATTAATACATTGATTGATTGTATATACCAAATATTGATAAATATCAACATGTGGATTAACAATATCCTGACCTAAATACACCAGCTGTCTATCAGAACAATAATAAAGTTAGCAGTGACTGAATTTTGCAAATCTAACAGAAAACTAGTGAACAGAAAGAGTAAAATAATTAAAGAAAGGTATTTCAGCTGCTAGATATCTTTGGAACATGTTAAGTGGAGCACCTTTTTGTTATATGACCAAATCTTGTCCCAAGACATCATGTTCACAGACTTGGATGAGCCCTGAAAAAAAAATTATTATGGTAAGAAATGGGGAAATTTATGCTGCAGAAATAAAATTGGGAATTACATGTTAATTTGGAAGCAAATATCTCAATATTGAGGAAATACCAGGGGAGACATGATAACTTGCAGAGATCAAGCACTTAATTATGCAAGCTTAATGATAATAGTTTAATTTCAATGAGGACGTACACATGTGAACTCCCACGTAAAATGGCATGACGTAAAAGACGCTATAACAAGCTACAAATTAATGGGCATGCAGCTGGCTGCTAATGTATATCTTGTCTAATTACCTGGGCAATGATAAATTGCTTGAGACCTTCAACTGTCATTCCTCTTCTCAATATTCCACGTACAGTGGGGAAACGTGGATCATCCCTGGTACATAAAACAAACCATTACTACAGGCAAACTGTTATCATTATTTGTGTTATTTGAAAAACGTGCACAGAAATGTACCAAAAACCTGCCCAGGTTAAAGTGTAATTAAACTGGTTTTTCAGTGCATTCTCTAAATTTTTACAAGTGCACCTCAATTGTGATAAGCAAGAAAAGTTTAACTGACATTTTAATTTTCAAGTTGATGGTGTCCTCAACACTCACCAGCCCTCAACTAGACCTTCATTGGCAAACCAGGTCAGTTTTCTCTTGGACAGAACAGTGTTCTGAAGGTTCAAACGACTGTACGAGTAAATGTGGGGTTTTCTCATGCCTACAGATAAAAAAAAGATAAATTAAAAAACACTGACTGTTACAGAAAAGGTTACTTCATGAAAACAGCATTTTGGGCTAAAAGCTAGGACCAATTTTCAGTCTACAGATTTTGGGTGAAACTGATTTTTAGTCCCAGTGTCTTACCCAGGGCATCCAGAACCCAGTAATACTGCTCATCTCTGTCCAGGTACTCCGTGGTCCTCAGGGCATGGGTCACATTCTCCAGGGAGTCCACTATAGGACAGGCAAAGTCATAGGTCGGGTAGACACTAGGAGAAAACAAAGGAAACTGTAAGCTGGGGTTTTTATATAATTATAACACAATTATAAGTTTGTGACAAAAAATTACAATCAAATAATAACAATAATAATAATAATTATTATCATATTGCATACTACTCAGTTTCAATTAATTTTACCTTCATCAAGTGATTCTATGTAGAGTGAACCCATGCAATGCTGGAAACAGCTTGCAATTTCTCATTAGTAATCAAAAGGCCAACTGGCCCTTCAGGTCAACCAAGTTGGTTTTAGCATAAAGCAGAAACAGTGGCAAACACACAAAACTTCACTGCCCTGGCTTCAATTTCACTGGCATTTGGTGTAGGGCTCGTGTAACGTGTTGCAGACTGTCCTTACTTGTATTTGTTCCCAGTCCTGAGATGTGGCTCTGGCTTACACCTGTAGATGGTAGGGTCACGCATGCAGCCGTTCTTGGAATTCATGTCAATTTTGGCACGAACGGCACACTTGCGCCCGAGGTCACTTCCCTTCTTCATCTCTTCCCAGAGTTCAAGGTTTCTGGCAACAGCTGTAAGCATGAGAACAAGGTATATTGTTAAAGTATCATATCAAAGAGAAACATGACAGAACTGCCTGTATCTGAATCTGAATAAGTTCAATAGGAAAAAAAGCCAATCAATTCAATTGGGATAATAAATGGATCACTAATTAGGTAAATTAAAAAAAAATAAATAAATAATGTTGCCAATTCTAATCTGATCCTAATGGAAAACAATAGAAATCATCCTAGACCTATGACCGATCTAAAAAAAAATCTGAAGTAAAAATTTCTTAAGTCGTGGCCTCTACCATGAAACAAAAAATTTGACCACAAACAAACGGTGCAATACACCCTCAAATTTTTTTTCGCAAGTAATAATCAACTCACTGTTGCTCCTGTTCTTGGACTCCACCTTCTGGTCTCTCTCCAGTTTCATGGTGTCAGGGTCTGTGTCGTCTACGTAGGCCTTCTCCTCCCTGATCATCTTCTCACACAGGGTCAACATCTGGTCAAAGTAGTCTGAGGTGTAGCTGAACTTGTCGTATTTGATTCCCAGCATAGCCACGTCACCCAGAATCACCTTGAAAACAGGAAGATGTTTTCATGGGCAGGCTTCATATCGTAATTGATGTCAGACAAGGCAAACAAATGATGTCACCAAGAACAACCTTGAAGAATGTGACACTGTTTGTTTCTATACTTTCCTCAAGGCCAATTTACTAAGACTAACCTTGGCATGTGACAAAGTTTATGTGCATGCAACCTTCAAGTTATCTTTTTTATGATGATTTAGCATTCTGAAAAATATCAACCAATCTGATCTCTAAACAGCCTATGACATTATACAATATTTTCTACTGCCAAATATAATTTAAAATGAAAATGGTTACTTTACGTCATAAATAAATATTTCACAAATAAATACACAGATGAATAAATTAATAAAAAAGTAAGAAAACAAAATAGAAAATTTGAATTTAAACAACAACAACAATAACAATAATAATAATACTATCTACCTCTTCAAAGTGAGCATTTTCTTTCGCAGGGTTGGTATCGTCAAACCTCATGATCAGTGTGCCATTGAAGGCCTGCTGGTAGTACTGGTTTAACAGAGCCGCCTTAGCGTGACCAATATGGAGATACCTTGTGGATTTGACAAAACATGGGAATTACTTAACAAAATTAGTAGCTGTTCAAACAAATCAAAGAAAAGGGGTTGCCAATGTTTCTCAAAAAGAAAATGTGGAATCTAATCTTGTTTTTTTAATCAGCCTTATCAAATAAAGTGCAAGAATACTAGTTTGAAAGAGAAATGGAAAGTTTAAAATTAAATAAGACTTTACAAACACCTTATAATTTATAGACTTTCAAATATTTTGTCTTCTGTGAGATAGTATCACATTTATATCACCATCATTACATGTATGTACAATTGTATGTAACTGTGGTGAAACCTCAAACCAAAATAATTTTCAACATCTTAAAATATGAATTAAATATTAAATACCTACCCACTAGCCTCAGGGGGAAACCTGACCACCACTTCTCCCATTTTTGCTCCTGGCAAGTCAACAAACTTGCCTCCTTCCTCAAACTTGCCCTGAAATATATGGCCAGTCCATATAAATAATGCCAAAATATGATTCAGATTATCATGAATCCTATTAGTTATAACTTTCATTCAGTTCAGTTATGAAAATGACCAGTACGCAATCGAGATTTGCTGTTGTATTATCATCACTGCACTGCTACTCATGGTGTGGGCAGCAAATTCAAATAGTTTCAATATACGATAGAAAACAATGCTTACAATATAAAATTTCTGAATATATTGTCACAGTCTTTAATCTGGGGTTTATAATTTGCTTATATGACAGCTGAGCACAGTAACAAAAATAGATGAAAATTGAAGATGCTCACTACTGCAATCTCATTAAAATTTTTTCTGAAAAGTTTTGACCAAAGTTTTATTTGCATTTTCACTCTCTTGTGGGTATCATTTGAGAATCTGTAATTCAGTTAATAATATCACACAAAACTGGATCAAACCTCTTTCTTGCTTTCAGCGCCATCTGCTGGTTTAACAGGAGGCACCATCTTGTCCACAGCTAAGAACTTCTCCTGGTGTTCCAGGTAGTCATAGTAACGGTGAACATTGACTGGTGCCGTTCCACTCAGCATCAAGCTTGCCCACTGACTACTTCCTAAAATGATACAAATATAATTTGACAAATATTGTAAACATAATTTTTAAATATTCTTGTCTCACTAGACATATCAGACACTCACTTATTTTCTGAAATGTTTAATTATTTTCATTTTCCATTACATGAAATGAAATCTAACTCAATAATAATGATTTTGTGAAAAAGTCTGAAAATGTGATGCGGGGTCCAGGGGGTCTTCTGCATCGAACTCAAAAAAGGTTATCTTTGGCTCCCAAGGTGTCAAAAAATCTGCTGACGGTCAAAAGAATCTAATTACTGTTAAATACAGAATTGCTATCTAACTTTGTTATTAATATAAAACGTCCATCATGATGTCTGCTATTTAACTTAACCCCCCTGTGGCAGGTGAGCTACATAATCACCTCTGAGAGCTCCCCAGACAGCAAAGTCTGCCAAGGTGACGCGATGTCCCACCAGGTAAGTCACTGGACCCAGGACATGGTCCAGGTATTCCAAGGCAGCTGGGAAGTCCGAGGCACAGGTCAAACGGCCATTGCCAAACTCCAGCCAGTGGTCAACCTGGAAGTATAACATATTGGATAGTCTTTTCTCTCTCTGTCTATGACTGGGTTCCCATGCCTAGATCGATCCATCTGTATCAGTCTAACTACCTGGGGAGTCTCACTAAATTGCTATCAACTTAACTGGCTTGAATGTCTGTCACACCTAGTAAAGCTGTTAGGGAGTCATTATCTTTGCCCCTAAAGGGGCCCGCACACTGTGAGCATTTGGCGCGCGCCACTTGCGCTGCGCCGTTTTCTGATCGTGTGCGGGGTTATTTTGGTGAGATTTTTGCCTCTCGCGCGGCTGAGCAAAATATCTTAGCGTGTGCGGGGTGCAAGCACCGATTGCTCACGCCATGCCAACAATGCGCATGTGCCGGTAGCCGGAAACAAAGAAAAATGGCAGCCCCCAGTGAAGTAAACAAAAATGTACACAGTTATAGTTAGTCTGATTGATTAACATGGTCACCATTTGCCATTACTTTCAGAAAAAAAAATATGTAATGTTTCCTTAATCACGTGATCCCACAGTTCGCGGTGCATCCGATAGGGGCAGGCCGGGAGGCACCTCTGCTGAGCAAAGAGCGCATTGTTTGTGGGGAGCTGAGGAGCACGAGCATCTGGCGCAGCGCAAGTGGCGCGCGCCAATTGCTCACCGTGTGCGGGGTGCTTAAGCTAATTCGGCAGGAATGACAGACATTTAAGCTGGTTAAGTTAACAGCAATTTAGTGAGACTCCCCAGGGAGATAGATCAATCCAAATATCTGTGGGAATGGTCCCTATGTGTACATAGGCATGGTGAATGTCAAAGCAAGGACAGTAAACTGACGGTAATTAATAGGCTCAACATCCAGACACAATGTAAAAAATTAGGAAAACTAGGTTTAAACAACACCCTCAGTAGTCATATACTCACTTTTTCTTTCATAAATCAGTAAGATGTTATAGAAAATTTCCAGTTTCCGCCCTCACCTCTGTTCTCTCCAGGGCACTGGTTCCATACAGCCCTTCTGAAGACCCCACTCTGGACAAGTAACGGCATATGGAGGCATTGGTGCTGAAACTGGTGGAGCTGAAAAAGAAATGGATTGTATGAGAAAAATAAGAATACAAGAACAATAAATGCTTGAACTGTAGTATTCAATAACACAGAAAATGTCATAGGAATTTCAACATGCCATTCAGTAAAGTTAAAGTACCATGATTATATGTTGTGTCAAATTGTTCAGTTCACAGTCTTTTACACATTTCTAATTCTGCAGAGTGTTGGTTTTCAAGTGTTTAAATGCCAAGAGTAAGGCCATAAAATCATACTTCTGCTTGCTTAAGTTTAAGAAATGGAAGTTACGATGGCCATATGCATGCAGCATTGACTTACTTGACTTCCAGACTGGTATTGCTCTCCCACTGCACTTTAACATCAACAATGCCCTTCAGGTGTTCAGCACTAAGGAGAGCAGCTGAAAACATAAGATTTTTTTCTATTAATGTTGTGGATTTATGACTCTGAGCACTAACACAGCAACTGGCTTGTTTGTTTACAGAAGTGAAAGAGGAAATATTTTCAATGACCATCGACTGTGATATATTGAAGTTAAAGTACCGTGTTCACGAGCATACAATCACTTTTGTTATAAAATTGTCAACTTTATTTTTTTAAAAACTATTTCAACATTTATTCTATCCATTAGGCCATAATGAAATTTTATCAAAATTGAAAAAAACAAATGGGAACATGCCTAGTTTTGAACTTGGCTGGCATTTTAGGACAAACAATATGCTATGTGAGCTGGAAGCAGAACAGCAACATTGTTTTCCAGTTATAGCCATAAAAAAAGGAATGCACAGGGCTCCCACTGTGGCCCCAGTAGACCATGTTGAGATACTACTGCAGTAACACTGTCTGCACATAGCAATGCATACTAAAACTGCTTAATACATACATAAATAAGAACAAAAAACAAACATTTTCTTTAGTTTTTCAATTTTCAGCAGACTAATCATTTTGATTATGTGACTAAATTCACTGAAATCCAGCTAGGATTGTTGAGTGTTCCATTTGAGGGCTACTGGTTGAA